CACAAATATTAAAACAATAACTAGTCTTGATCTACTGGAAAAGAGTCTCATTTACCTCCAGAGTACTACTGCTATTGCTGGGCATTTTCTCGTGAGATAAAAAGCTTCTACTAGCTTGAGCTGCTCTCTAAAGATCTCAAGGCAGTGAAGCAAGACTTTTCCTAACAGAAGAGAAGCTCTCACAGATTTAGAGCACTCGATTGCAAAGATATACATTCTCAAAGACAAAAGAGAGCACACAGAATGAATGAATGAAACACAGACAGACAAACCAAGTACCTAGTCCTCGCCTACACAAAGCTGGGCGAGGCCAATAATAGCATTAATTATTATTATCAGAATTTTACAGGACTTATACAAAGTAAACGAAAAACAGAATTAAAAGCTGGCCTAATGTATTTATCAAGCAAAACCATCAAAATAAAGTACAGCTAAATCACACGACAGTCACATGATTTCAATTACCTGATTGAGTGACTCCAGAGTGAAGTACATGGCAGAGCAGGAGGTGGAGAGAGGCAGGTATTGCTGGGAGACTCTGTCAACTTCAGCCATTAGAGTATCAGTCTCCTCCATCTTCCTCTGAACTTCTGCAGCCTCTTCCTTAAGAGTCTCAAGCTCAGTAATGATTCTAAAAATAGACACAACAAAGATTACATCATGTAATAAAAGTTACTATAGTTAGATATATTGTTACTATTACTAGTGATGATTCTAAAAATAACCACATTAATGATTACATCATGTAATAGTTGTTACTATGTTTAGATGTGTTGTTACTATAATTAGAAGTTACTACATGTATAATTAGAATTGGGGATACCTGTTGTCGTCTAGGATAGGACAAGGTTCAGGATTGGGTCATAGCTCTCAACGTCATAGAGGGATTGAGTATGAAATAATGAGTGTTTCATGACAGGGTTCTTAGTTCTAAAAAATTCCGAAAATAATCCAATGCTGTTAGAAAAAATTCAGAAAAAATTCCAAAAATAAAAGTAAAATAATTCAAAATTATTTCCATGATCTCATAAAAAATCAGAAAAAAATTCCAAAAATTAAACAAAAATAATCAAAAAATATTATAACACTCATAATAAAAAATTCAAACAATTACAAAAATTAAATAAAAAAATATGAAAATATTTTTTAGGCTGTCAAAAAAATCAGAAAAAATTTGAAAAATAATATAAAAATAATTCGAAAATATTTCCACACTCATGATTAAAAAATCCAAAAAAATTCCAAAAATTAAATTTAAGAAAGCTAAAAATATTCCCATGCTCTCTGGAAAAATCAGAAAATTTTTCAAAAACAAAAATAAAATAATTTGAAAATATCCCAATGCTGCCAAAAAAATCAGAAAACATTTGAAAAATATAATAAACTATTCTAAAAATATTTCCTTGCTCAGAGAAAAAATCAGAAAAAATTCCAAAAATAAAATAAAGAAAATTCAAATAAATTCCCACACTCCTGAAAAAATTTTTTTTAATTCCAAAAATTAAATAAAAATTCGAAAATAGTCCAATGCTCTCAAAAAAAAGAAAAAATTCCAAAAATAAAATAAAGTAATTCAAAAATATTCCCACAATTATGGAAAAAATTCAAGAAAATTCCAAAAATTAAATAAGAAGAATCCAAAAATATTCCTAAGCTCTCAGAAAAAATAAGAAAAAATTAACTCAAACTTATACACAACATAAGGACAAGTATATGTATCAGAAAATATTACAAAAACTGAGAATTCTCTACTTTTTAATTTTGGCAAAATTTAGCTAGTGCTTTTGTACTATCAGGGACTTTGACCCGATTTTTTAGCAACTTTAAAAATTCATTAAAAATCCAAATTCAATCAGAATCAGCTAAAACTTTATACACAACATCAGGACAAGTATACATGTATGTATCAAAAAATATTATAAAATTGAGAATTTTCTTTTTTCAATTTTGGAGAAAATTGGCCAACACCCCTGTACTAAATAGTACAGGGACTTTGACCCAATTTTTTAACAACTTAAAAAATTTATAAAAAATCCAAATTTGATCGGAATCAGCTCAAACTTTCTACACAACATAAGAACTTGTATACAGCTGTATGCATCAGAAAATGTTGTAAAAATTGAGAATTCTTTACTTGACATTTTGGCAAAAGAAGCCCCTGTACTATAGTAGACTTTTTGAGCAACTTTAAAAATTCGTAAAAAATTTAAATTTGATCGGAATCAGCTCAAACTTTCTACACAACATAAGTACATGTATTATGTATCACAAAATATTATAAAAATTAAGATTTCTCTCCTTTACAATTTTGGCAAAATTTGGCCGAGGGACTTTGATCTGATACTTAACCAACTTTAAAAATTCATAAAATAATCAATTTTGATTGGAATCAGATTAAACATGCTCCACAACATAAGTACAATGCACATGTTAGTCTCGCTACGCCCCTTCGC